TAATCATATTTCTCCTAGAGAATGAAAATAAATTTAGAGGCTCACGAAAATAAGTAAAAAAATACCTTCGGTATAAATGTAATAAAAGCCAATCGTGATAGGTGGGTTCATTTATATTAGAAATTATAAAAAATGGGGTAAATGATTACAATGTATATGGCTATTAAAAAGCATGCTTTCTGAAATACTCATTTGGGGCAATTTTATATGAAGACACAAAGCTAAGGGTCACATTGATGAAATAAGTTGTCTGAAATGAATGAGGCATAGAGAATCTAGGCTCACATTCGTAGATAAATAGAGATAAATCACACAAAAAAAGTGTAACAGGCGATGACAAAGAATATACTGGCAGAGAATATGATAAAAAAGTTGCAAAAGTGCACCCACAATAATGGTTATTAGAAAATTTATATCATGCCGATTCCTCAAAAACCTTTTTCAATGGATCAGTTCGTTAAAAAACTATAAATGAATGTATTCAAAAGTAGATTACAATTATAATGACACATAGTATGATACAAATCGTGTGGATGCTTGTGAGCAAAACGTTTAAGTCTAGAATATCACAAAATAGGCTATGTGATCCAATTTGTTCATAGCATAGTTTAACCTGATCGCACCATGAGGATTTATTTACAATTCAAGAAATATATTAGAGAATATCAGTATTTTAGCATTTCCTAAATTGGTCAATATTGGCTAAGCGGTAAAGTGTAATATGCCTATGATGTAATATGTCTTGTTTCATAAAAGATATTCCTATTTATAGTGTACTGCAGTTAAGATCTCCCTTAGATTTGATCAGCTCTTCAAAAAGGAATCAGCAGCAAGGTATCAAGAGGGATGATATTATCAAGAAAAAATTGGACTAGTAAATGAATTTCCAATACAAAACAAGCTTGTGGCGATAAATAAGCTCGAATAAGGTCGAAGTGTTGGTTCGACCTCGTTTTCACAACTTGGTCGGAGTTACAGGAATACCTTGTAGAAGGAACCTAGTCTTGCGTCCTCTGACATAGTATTCGTAATCTCCAGAATCGGACCATTGACTAGGTACGTTCCTAGACGCTTCGCTGGCATCGAAGTCGACATCTTTAAGGAAAGGCGCCATCGTTAGCACAGAGTTACGACAGATCAAAGTGACTTGGAAGAAGAGGTAGAACTAGGTACGTTCCAAAAGGTCTCCCTGACGCTCCAAGTTGCGAAAACGAGGGCAAACTAATAATACACAGCTAGGGAGACAGCAACCAAACAAAGGCCACATCATCTTGGCTTTCATATCCACGATCGAATAAAGCAAGTTCATAGAAGCTATTCTAAGTGAATCGAAAGAAAAGGCTCATTTTAGATAGCCATGGATATACAAGAGCCGGACAATTGGGATGCTAGGCCTTAAATCAAAATACCACAAATGGCGGAACAATTCAACCCACTTTTTTTCCAACACCCTTACTCATACAGGATGACCAGCAGTCTATAAGGCTATTTTAAGAATAAGCTCGAATCCGGCTTATTTAAATGCATAGTGAAGTTTCCCAAAGAATAATTTAAATCATGACATAGACGAAAACTCAGCATGGATTGATCGAAGTCGTATGGGGGTGTGCCAAAGGCTTATTCGCCCAACACCAGCAGAGTCCTAGGCAATCCTTTTTCGGTATCTGAATAAGCCAATTTTTGAATTCTCTCAAAACGTGATTACTAACGAATTGGAAGGCATGGAGACATAAAATCATAAGCTTAAAACAGAATGCGGAAAGGTTGTATTTACATTATTACCTAAGATTCATTAAGACAGGCCAATATGATGGAAAATAAAACTAAGTATAAGACAAGTTTAATATATTCCTAGATCCGTCATTCAAAGCATAGGAATCAAAAGCAGACCATTAGTAAAACTCAAAGGAAAGACCAAAATGAGGAAGACTCAGATGATGCTGCCTATAAGGGGAAACTGGATTCCGAGAAGTGAAACTGCAAATAGAGGGAAGCTGAAAGAAACAAGGATAATAATATAAAATGCTGAAACATAAAATGTACTGCCTATATGAAAAAATAATTTAAGAAAAAATGTGCACATACATGACTTTAAGCAAGTGGAAGAAACACTACTATAAAACGATAATAGTGTTAAGTGTGATAAGAAGATGTCAGTCAAGTTGGAAATAAAGGAAAGGTCTGCGAAAAAAGCATAAGATAGTTCAAATAAAAGAGTGCAGAAGAGTAAATCAAGTTAAGACAGAATATGCGCAAACTTACATCGCTTTCGAGGCCGGTGATTCTTTGCAGAGATTGTTGTAATTTAAACTTGTACTCCTGTGCCTGTGACCGTGATGCTTTATGAAAAAAATAAAATAGATTATATAGGGTGTAGGATTTACAAAATACAAATGGAAAAATAGTTAGGATAAAGATTATAGTAAAATAAAAAAGCAGTAGATTAAGTAGTGCTTTATAGCTTAGATATTCAAATTAGATGGCAAATGTTTGATAAATGGAGCAACGATAGTAAAGAGCAGGATCATATAAATAGGTAAATGTGACTCCAACTAAAAGCCAGTTGAGGCTTCAAAAGAGGAAACAGCTGATTAAATAACCTCGGCTCAGCGATAAACGAGTAAAGTGTGTCACTTACTTTGAATGTCCTTCTGGAGGTCTTCAGAATTACGTCCATTGATGCGAGATCGGCTATCATAGCGCTGTATCATGTCGTTCTTCTGTTTCTCCTCTTCTAATCTTGCTTCTAGGGCTTCGATTTTGGCCTGTGCTTCATCTCGATCATCGAGAAGGCGGACCAATCGAGATTCTTTGTGAGAAAAGCCAAGACAAATTTAGGTAAACTAAATGGGTGAGGGCTGGAGAGATAGACATAGAATAAATGAAGTATACTGATGGCATACACAGTAGCCTATCGATACAAAATTCACACGAAGAGAATTGAAGGACGTGCTTTGCTTGCAAGTCATAATTGTCTTATAAGAGAATAAGACGAGAATCCTGTGGATCAGGGGCCAAGGCGCTTTTTTCTTAATTCGCGCTTTCATGGTTCCCTGGCTGGGGTGCCTACAAGACGAGGCCGAAAATGTAATAAACTTGGGGTGATAATAGATTATTGTGATATATGACGATGTAAATTTAATGAAAAAAAGCAGGCGAAAGCAACAAAAATCGTAGAATTAAATGCTAATCAAAATATAAAAAACACTTAATTTGAGATGGTAGCTAAAATGAAATTTATTATTAATAAATAAATAATAAAATACTGTAATATTAACGAAAAAGTTTAGTTTGCCTAACCCTAAAAAGGAATAAGCATGATTTTGATGCGACGCCTTTTGGAATACATCGGAAAGCATAGATGCAATGCAATTCCTTTATGTAAGGACCTTAAGCTTAATAAGAAACAATAATTATTAAATAGATGGAATAGGAAGCAGAGAATCATTTCGGAAGTGTAAAATACAATTTTCCATAAGATCTACAACATGATATGATGAGCTACCTAGAACTCAAAAAAATTGGACGCAGACGTAGTTCATAATGGAATTCTAATTTTTGACAATAAAATTTCGTGAATCTTGAGTATGCCAGTACTTCAGAATAGGTTCCGCTGGTCAAGGCCTGTTTAGATGTAGAGATCAAATATTCCCAAATGACAAATAAATTATGTATCCTTTTATGGTTCTGTCATTGTCAAAGTACAAGTTCAGTGCGGTCTCTCTTTTAAGAGGCATCTTACTAGAGCAGTGAATAGAAAACCAAAGTAGGTAAAATGCTCACTCCAAACATGTATTGTTAGTAATCGCTTGGTCCTAGCTATCGATAACGTGAATGCCGTCAATATTAAATAGTTCCATATGTAATCATATAAACTGACAGCGTTTTCACTCAGGATAAGTTGAAGAGAAGGCTGGAGTGTAATTTGACCGGGCCTATGTATCTTTAACACCCCTAGTGAGTGTGATTTTGCAAAAAAAAATAAAAACACAGCCATATAGCCCAAGAGATAGTTTGAGTTACATGCCAATATGAATTTCAAGATAAAGTAAGACTAAGTAATATGTACAAATAAAACTATCAATTCGTAATTTGTAGAGTTGATAAGTCGCTGGCGAGCTCTTAATAATCAGTTAGTAACTGTTATCAGGAAATTTGATAATGTAGATTAACGGAGTTAAAGTCATGTGGCATATTGGGAAACGCTTTAACTATGGTGGTTTAATAACTATATCCCCATTATTGAGAAAAGGTTAGAGCCTAGAATGTACTGCCTGAATGAATGACCCTCTGAGATGCTTTGTAATTGGGATTTTAACTTGTTTTTCATCTTACTAAAACCATCCCGTTATTTTCCTCAACCCCTCCTGCTTCCACTTTGTTTGGACTCTACTATTGAGCGTAGACTTCGATAATTTAGTTGTGGTAACATCAATTTTCCTTCTCAATTCATGCCACGCAATACAACGTTATAGCACGTATATGAGCACAAGCGTTTAATGTTTTGATATTTAGATTACAGCAAATACAGAAATAAGTTACTCGAATTCTATGTGGAAATGTGGTCAGGTTGCAAAAATATAAATGAACAAACACACAAAAATATTAGGATTGGGTCGCCCAGATGGCTCAGATATCGAATAGAGTTATTATAAGAATAAGTGAGGTTGATTCATAAAATATGCTAAAAAGAACGGTTTAATGAAAGTAAAATAGGAGAGTTAAATGACAACGAAACATAAACCCAAAAAATGGTAAAGAAAGAACCTTACCGAAATCGGATCCAGGAATTGCATGGACTCTTTCGGCCATGGAAAGAGTAACTAAAGCCATTCCCGGAATCCGGATTGGCGTTTTGTGTTCATGCCTGTTAAGTGGATCTGAATTTGAACCCACACTAGCTGAAGTTTCGAGATCACCATTAACAAGACCAGGCCCATTGTGGTGATCAGAGACAGTTTTACGAGTGGATGTATGAGAAGAAGTTAAGGGCTGAGCAGAGCCTCTGGACTGGCCCTGTAGGAAGGGAGGCCGATGAGGTGCCAACTCATCAAGAGGATGAACAACTTGATTAGTTCGAGCGGAGGTATTGGAAGCATCCTCGTTAGCTGAAGAAGATTCTGAACCTAACAATACGAGGCCGCTATCGGCTAGTAGTTGATCACGTGCATCTACCTGTTGGCGAGCGTAATCTAATCGATGCGTAAGTTCTGTGATCTGCATTCGCTGATAAGCGAGTTCCTGACAAGACAAAATAAAAATAAATCGGAAAATTAAAACATGTTGAGGGCTGATCTTTAGTAAAATAATGTGCAGATCTGAATTAATGATAAGAGTACCGATAATCTTGGTAGATTCGATTAATTAACGAATGGTTGTGTTAAAAATAGCTGGTTTGGAAGAAGTGTAGTTATCCCATTTATCGTCCATATTTAGCAAAAACTCAGGCCCATGGATGTCATCCAGGTATCGATTGCAAGAAGTACTTTGCTAAATTTCCTGGAAATATGTATGTATTTTTAAATCAAAATCAAAAGTGCCTGTGATATTCAAATTTCCTCTCAATATCAGCCGAACAGAAAAGGATGCGTTGGGGAGTTTTGCCAATCCTATTCCCACAACTCTAATTATGGAAGGAGACGCCTAAGCCTACTATGAGATTAAATAATTACTCAACGTCCCGATTCAACAAAAATTTCCATAATCGCTTTCCTAATAAACCTTCCCTTCTTAATTAAATGACCTCACTCGAAGCGCGAACCTTTACTTACCATAGCGAATGACTGTCACCCCATTTAAATAAAATTGCTGAGACCGAAAGAATACAGACCTAAAAGATTTGTGATAGTGCTTACGTCCGTTTCGAGTGAAGGTTTGCAATAAAGAGATTCAAATTCCGACCCCACAAGATGTCGAATTCCTTACGGGCAGCTGTAGATTGGCTTTAATGAAGTACCTTGGCTTAAAACATGCCCCGGAGCAATTTCCTTCTATTCCGATGGAAATATGCTAAGCTTATGTCTGTCATAAGGCGAATACCATCAGAGCAGGGTATAATTCTAAGAACTTGTTCTAGTTATTGAGCCACTAAAATCCATTGGCTTTTTCCTAAATGTTGTGCATATATGAATTTATAATGTATATATTAATTTGATTAGTTCAAATCAAATGCCAATTTAGAAGCATATGCTTGTTTATCTGTGTGCTTATATACTTTTATGTGCGCACATGAATACAAAGTGAGCAATAATAGTAAGTGAGTAGGGTTTCGAGACTACCAGTAAATCAGTGTAATGATCAATAATAGCCCGAAGTAATTGTAAGTGTGACATCTATCCCCGGTCACCAAGGCTTCATAATCCTTCTCCGACTCCAGTTGCTTAATGTTGGAAATACGTTTGATTAAGTTGATGAATCGTTAATATCTGTGCGAGAGAGTGAATTAAGACTTACGCAAAATGTAGCCGTTTTCACAAACATCAACAACAAAAGACCAACTTGGCCACCTCCATTTCCAAAACGGCCCAAAACCTTAGTCTAAATCTATCAATTAAGTATGAATAGTTCCTACTCCTTATAGGGATTCTGACAAACTATATTAGCTAATCTGTCGGTTTCGATAGCCTCCCAAATTTAGCTGCAAACGCAAAGTAATCAGCAAAACGATAAATTTGAGATTATGCCATCACATGTCCGATCTCTAATGTTAATTCCACTATCTTTGATCAACGAATCCAATAGCCTTTACACACAATTTTGTGTTTAGCTACCCTTTGCAGAATAGAACTAAAAGGTTCTCCAGCATAAAAGAGACCGTATAAACGAGTATTTCGCAACAGTCTAATCTGGATAATGGACAAATCACTCCTTGAAAGTGGCTATAACTGTGAGCAAATGTCGTAGTTCCCTTTAAAATCATTTTAATGCCTTATTTTTAGCCAATCGTTTTGTATATAAGA